GACTTCTGGCTTTTTAAAGAATATTTTTTCAAGGACTTCTAGAGTCAGAAACGTGGATTTTTAAAGAATATTTTTTTCAAGGACTTCTAGAGTCAGAAACGTGGATTTTTGAAGAATATTTTTTCAAGGACTTTTAGAGTCAGAAACCTGGATTTTTAAAGAATATTTTTTCAAGGACTTCTAGAGTCAGAAACGTGGATTCTTAAAGAATATTTTTTCAAGGACTTCTAGAGCAGCAAACGTGGATTTTTAAAGAATATTTTTTCAAGGACTTCTAGAGCAGCAAACGTGGATTTTTAAAGAATATTTTTTCAAGAACTTCTAGAACAGCAAACGTGGATTTTTAAAGAATATTTTTTCAAGGACTTCTAGAGTCAGAAACGTGGATTTTCAAGGAAACAAGGACTATCTGGACGTGAAATAGATAAAATAGTTTTTTAAAAATATTTTTGTAGGATCACAATATACATACATCTGCCAGCAAAACCGACTGATACTTTTTAACATGTTTTCAATAATGTTTTTTTACCACCATTAGGACGTAGATTTTTTTCAAAAATTTTTAACATAAGATCTGTTGGTCGCCCAAAAGACAAACAGTTTGAAGACAACTAAAAGTTATTTTCTTGGTTTTCTCATAGTAGACCAGAAGTTCTTCCCTCATAGAATGGCAGAATGTCTTCTCCCAAAATGACTTAGATTTTTTAAATATTTTTAAGGCCTCTTTAAAGATTTATTTGAAGAAACAATTGGATATAAAATATATATATATTTTCATTACCATCATATGTTTCCTATCTCTAACAATTTCATGACATACTATTGTTAAAATACTCCTTATCATTTTACTAATGGACACACCCTTTTAATTGAGGTGTTTTTCATATGTGTGTGTGGGTTGTGAGCTTAATAATTGCAAAAAGCTGCTTATACATATACATACGTGGGCAGACACACCTTTGTCATAGTCATATAAATATTTGTATGTATGTACGGAATAAGAAGATTTTTTTCTCATCTTGACAGGACTATTGTAAATTACTTTATTGTTATGCAAATCTATGGCGTGTCAGGATACACACCCATGTGTATGAAGTACGAAATGTTGATATTGTGGTAATGTAAATTATATAAAAAAATATCTCATAATTAAAAAATCCGCAATTAATAAAAGGGATAATACATTTTTTCTGTTTAATTAAACTTCATTATAATTATGATGACCATTAAGGTGGTGATTTTTTTAATTAATTCTCATACTCCATCTAATAGAGAAAAAAATATTGATATGGGCAAAATTACAAGAAAATCGAACATTTATATCCAGTTTTATGCGAAATCATAAATTCAATATTCATCTCAGGTCTCTGGTTATGAGAAATATTTAGCGAATCGCTGACTTGTTTCGAAACTATAGCAGATAAAAAGATTGAAAATTGTGACCCGTTGTGGGTGAGCTACCGGAGGTGGTTCGCAGATATATATCATCTTCACAACAGATCATGTGTTAGCAAAATGTTTGTATGTGTGAAATTTGAAGAGAGTTGGATGCCTTTTCCGCTTTCTTTGAGTGTTTTGTTTTTCAAAATCTTGAAACCTATGTGGAGGAGGACCGATCTCTACCGTCTTTATAACTGATTTTGTGTTGATGAAAATATTGAGATGTAAAAATCTGAATGGATTCGGATGTAATTTCGTGTTTTATGAGCTTCAAGGATATTCAAAATTTGACCCTTTTGTGAGGAAGGTACCAGAAGGAGTGAACCGTAACATTCCATCTTCACATCAGATCTTTTATTAGTAGAAATAATGAGATGTGTGAAATATGCAGACCCGGATGCTTATTTCGGATTTTATAATCATTTTGGTTTTTCAAAACTTTGACCTTTTGTGGGGGAGGTACCAGAAGGGAAAGTCCGGTTTCTACCATCTTTATAACAGATCTTAAATTGATAAAAATATTGAGATGTGCTAAGTCTGAATGAAATTGGATGTTAATTTGGCCTTTTATGAGCTTCATGAATATTCAATATCTTAAGCCTTTTGTGGAGGAAGTAACAGGAGGAGTGGACCGATATATCACATCTTCACACCAGACCTTGGGTTAATAAAAAATATTCCGATGTGTGTAATTTGAAGGCAATCTAATGATTACATCACATTTTATAAAAGTTTAAATTATGAGCAATTTTGACTCTTTGTGTGGGAAGTACTTGACGGAGTAGACCTATATTGTCCATTTTCGCAACTGACCTACCCCTGATGCAAATATTAGGATTCGCAAAGTTGGAACAAGTTCTGGTTATCCTTTCTCTTTCGGTGGAGTAATTTTTTTTTTTTTTTTTTTTTTTGAAAACTTCGGCCTTTTGTGGGGGAGCTACCAGAAGAAGTGTATCGATATTTCCCATCTCCAAACTCGATCTAAATTTAATAATAATATTACGATGCACCAAGTGTGGACCAAATCGGATACTCCCTTCGCGAGTTATCGTGAAGCGATGGAATTCAAGCGTGATAGTGTGATTTCTTTATGATTGGCTGGAAAACCACAAGTGGCTATCGCTGGAGCACTCCACAGCATTTAAATGTGAATAAATCTTTTGTGTCTCGTACCATCGGTCGTTACCGTGATACTGGTAGCCCGATGTCATGGAAGTAGACGGCAACATCAGCAGAAATGGCTCGAAAAATTAAAGAAGCAACTTTATCGAAACCCGCATCGCAGTGGCCGAAAAATGGCTCGTGAGCTGAACATATCGCAACATTCCATTCTTCAAATATTGAAAAATGAGCTCGGGATAAAGCCATTACAATTCCAAAAAGTGCAAGAACTTACACCGCAACAGAAAGAAAATAGACTCAAAAGAGCTAAAGAGTTGCTTCGCTTGGCCGAAAGTGATGAACTGCCGAATTTGGTTGTCTCCGCTCCCATGAGAAAACATTCGTTGTCCAGCAGTTTGTAAACAAACAAAATGGGCGTTTTTACTTTCCAAAGATGTCAGGTGAAACTGTGCACCTTCGGTTGGCCACCAGAACTCAAGCGCCAGCCATGGTGATGGTGTGGGTCGCCAAACACATTTTGGCCGCAGACCTTGGACATTTCAACAGGACTCATCGCATCATCGCACTCAGCACGCACTACCCAAGAATAGTTACAAAATGAGGTTCCTCGCTTAATTTCCAGCGCTCAATGGCCACCAAAATCTCCGGATACCAACCCGTTGGACTATTATGTCTGGAGTATTTTGTAAAGCAAGCTTTGCGAAATACCGCAAAGCAACATTCAGGCAGCGTGTTACGGTTTAATTGGCCGTTATTTGTGCCAAAGTTGACCAATTCGAACAAATCTAAACTAATTCAAAAGTTTGATGCTATTTCCGACATTTTTATACCCTCCACCATACTATGGAGGGTATATTATCTTTGTCATTCCGTTTACAACTCCTCGAAATACTCATGTCAGACCCAACAAAGTATATATATTTTTGATCAGCGTAAAATTCTAAGTCGATTTAGCCATGTCCGTCTGTCTGTCTGTCCGTCTGTTGTAATCACGCTATCTTTCGAACGAATTGAGATAGAAGGCTAAATTTTTGCACACATATTATTGTTTTTCCAGTAGGCAGGTTAAGTTCGTAAATGGGCCATAAAGGGTCCACGTTTTCATATAGTCCCCATATAACGGTACCTCCCGATATTCGGTCTTTTGATGATTGTAGCGATATTATTCACCGGAATTTTTTCGAATTTGCTATTTGAATGGATACTACAGCCTAAGACAGAAAACTGTCTGTGCAGGTCCACGTCTTTGTATGGCCCCCATATATAGATACATCCCGATATTCTGTCTTTTAATGATTTTAACGACATTATTCACGGGAATGGTGTAAAATTTGGTAGTTGAAGTTCGAAATGGATACTACAGCCTAAGACAGAAAATTGTCTGTGCAGGTCCACTTCTTCGTATATCCCCCATATAATGGTACCTCCCGATATTCGGTACTTTGATGATTTTAGCGAAATTATTCACCGGAATTGTTTCAAATTTGGTGTTTGAAGTTCGTAATGGATACTACAGCCTAAGACAGAAAACTGTATGGGCAGGTCCACGTCTTCGTATAGCCCCCTATAACGGTACCTCCCTATATTCGGTATTTTGACGATTTTAGGTACAATACTCACCGAAATTATTTGAGATGTCGTGTTTGAAGTTCGTAATGGAAGCTACAGCCTGTGACAGAAAATTGTCTATGCTGGTCCAGGTCTTCGTATAGGCCCCACATACCAGTACCTCCCTATATTCGGTATTTTGACAAGTGTAGGTACAATACCCACCGAAATTGTTTGAGACGCGTATTTGAAGCTCGTCATGGATGCTACAGCCTATGGCAGAAAATTGTCCATGCTGGTTTAGGTCTTCACACAGCTCCGATATAACGCTACCTCCATATATAGGATATTTTCCTGATTTTAGCTACATTATTCACCGTTTATTTCAAGTTTCGAATTTTAATGTAGTAATGACTTATGAAAAACAATGCCCATGTAGGTCTACGTCGTATAGACACCAATATAACGGATATATTCGGTATTTTTAAAATTTTAACAGAATTTTTTAAGGATTATATTTCCTACTTCGTTCCAAATGGTTGAGGGTATTCAAAGTTCGACCCGGCCGAACTTACTGCTTTTTAACTTGTTTGCTTTATTTGAATAAAATTAAAAAAAAATAATTAAAAATTATGGCGTTTGACTCTGTTGCCGTTTTTTTATCTTACCCTGTATACCCTCTCTATCCATGTGACTAAGCATATATAAAGGGATTATAGGATTATCTTATATAATTTTAGTAAATAAATTAAGCTTAGTTTTGAAACAAAATTGATTAAAAAAAATATATTATTTAATTATAGTAAATAATTGAATATCTTGAATTGTTTATTTATCTGGTATTTATGAAATTTATTAAAATTTATTTTTCGTTTTTTTTTCTATTCCAGATTCAGCGGCTGAAATTCAACAATTACACTCAAATAAAAATCTTAGTTAATTACTTCAAATGAAATTTATATATAAACCAATATATAATATAACTACGGTATATAACATTTAATTAAATAAATTATATAAATTAGTAATATTCGTTAAACTGAAAGCTGTGTTAAAAATATTTTATTAAATAGAAATAATAAACATTCAAAATTCAAAAAAACCAAAATCTTTAAATTTTTAAAGTTAATCATTAAATCTTCCATTAAATGATATTAAAAAAAAACATAAAATACAATACGTTTTCAAATCAAATTATATAACAAAAAATAAAAATATACTCAACAACAAGCCTAAGTAGTGATATTAAAAAATCTCTTTTTTTTCAAAACTTCAATATAATGCCTATATACAAAAAATATATATTTGAAAATCTTTGATAAATAACAAAAACAAAATAGAACATTTTCAAACAAATAGCGTTGTGAACCAAACGAAAAATATCCTTTTTCTTTTTTGTAAATCCATCAAGTGAGAAAGTGGAAACAAGCCTGTCAACCTACCCCCCAATGGCTAGGCAAAAATAATATTCTAAACATAACCTTAACCTTAAACTTGACAACAACAAAGAAAAAGGACAAAACCGAGAAGACAAAAGGAAACAAAAAAAACACAAATCGAAGGCAACCCAGAGAACTGCAAACGTCAGTTGAAAAAAAAAAATAATCTTTTGGGGCCCCGACAACAGTGCACTGCAGTTCACATTCATTGGCTGACGTACAGTACATTTTTGGCCGAGAACCAAAAAAAAAACCGAAGCCCAGTTATCAGCACCCATCCTTTCTAGGCCATCACTGGGCTAGGCAACAATTACATTACCAATCGAAGCGACGACCTTCGCGTGCCGCTGCAAAACTCCAAAAAAAAAAAACAACAACCAACAAAGTTCCACTCTCAACACCTTAAGGACACATTGGAATACATGGAATGCACCTCGACTAGATAACTGCAGCGTGTAGGACAACATCAACTACAACTGGTCGCTACCCTACACAGACCACCTCCCACCCGAAACAAACTGCGAAAAACAGCAAGGTTCATTTGCAACACTTGTTTGCAGTTGGAATTTCTTCCTTCCTTCCTGCCACCTGCCACACAACCAACAACAACATTGCCAAACACTTCGTTTCTGTGAAAATTCCCGCCAAATTTGTAAGTGTGTCTGTGTCTCGCTCGCTCCATGTGCTGCTTGCTGTTCATCTAATGTTCATGCAATGATGATACACCAATAAATCTTGGCAAAGCGTCATGACCGGAAGTACGGTAAGTGTTTCAGTTGGATAATGCAACAAAATCGTTATATGCAAACTATTTACGCCCTCCCCCTAGGGCAATAAGTCCGCCAAACATGAGTTGAACAAATTGTTTGGGAATTTTGTAGACACATGTTGTAATATGGAGGTTCCCATTGCAAACTAACAAATGGTAGGAAATATCGAAAAAAAGTTTTCAATTTTCAGAGGAGAAAATATTTGCAAAAAATGCTACAAAAAATAGAGAGAACTTACTGCAGTCTACAAAGGATCCAATCTTCGACATAAAGGTGAAGCGACAATTGGAGAGCTGTAAGTGGTCTTCAGACCCAAGAAATCCCGTAATATATGGAAATGTGGAAAATTTAAACCTTTTTTAAGGGTCCATCAAGTGTCCGCTACATCGTCAGAGAAAAGTGCCCCTGAACATTTTAGATTCGTTCCAACAGTGCGTGTTCCTATAAGAACTCAAAATACACAATTTGTTTAGCTTGACAACAATTTGGACAATATGGATGGACAATATCGGCCCACTCCCCTCCCCTACCTCCCCAAAAAATGGTTAAAATTTTGAATAATTACAACCCTCATAAAATGTGATGTACGAGTCCGATCGTCTTCAAATTTCACACACCCGAATATTTATATTAACCCAAGGTCTGGTGTTAAGATGGTCGGTTTACTACTTCCGGTACCTCCCCCACACAAGGTAGAAATTAAAAAAAAACACAAAATATATATTTTTTTCTGAACACAAAAAGAGGTAATAACCCGGTTTTGCTTCAACTTTGCAAATCCTACATTGGCTGAGGATATACATCTGTCGGAAAATGCTTTCCTATTACACCAAAAATTAATCTTTTTTTATTTTGAAGCTCACCGCAGACAATGGACCCACATCCAAATGTTCTATTCAAACCTATTTCAACGTCTTCAAATGTGAACGCTAGAAACCAACCTTGACATCTATATCAAAATTCAAGAGTTCAGTTATATTCCTTCATCTAATATCAAACTTAATGCTATTTAGTACTTACGTACGCATTACCAAAACCACTTCCATATCTCAATCCTAGATACCGACAAAGATAGGATTTCAGCTCTATCCCTTCACCGAATACCCAATTAAGAACGACAACTAAAGTACGTATATCCAAAACTAACTCCTTCTCTCAACCACAGACAGACACAGACAGTGACATCCAGATCAAATTTTAGGATTTCTGCTCTATTCCTTCAACCAATACCAAATGTAGTACCATTTAGTTCTTTTCGTACAGTTAAAGTACACGTTTCCAAAACCAGCTCCATTCTTCAATATCAATTACCAACAGCGACCTTCATACTAAATTTAAGAATTTCACTACCAGTTCTTAATTCCAGATACCAACAGAGACCTCAATATAAAACTTGTGTATTCCAGCTTTATTCCTCCATCCACTACCAAATTTAGTACCATTTGTATTTTTCGTACAAATATAGGACTTTTTCCCAAACAGCTGCCGAAGCTCAAACACAGATACAATCAGTAATCTAAATATAAAATTTTAGAATTTAATATCTATTCCTTCACCCAATATCCCATACAATACCACTTGGTAGTATTCAAATAATTATATTACTTATTTCCAAAACTACCTTCATATCTCAACTATCGACACAAACAATGGAATCTGTATCACATTTCAGGACTTCAGCTCTATTCCTTCTCCCAACAGAGACCTCTATATCAAATTTTGATCCCTTCATCCAACACACATTTTAGTACCACTTAGTACTTTTCGAACAATTATAATACACATTCTCAAAACCACATCCATAAAGTATCAACAGCCACCAAGAGGGACATCCATATCAAATTTCGGGATTCCAGCTCTACTTCTCCACTTAATATCAATTTTAGTACCATTTAGTACTTTTCGTACAAAAATGTGGCGCATTTTCAAACCTCCGCCAAATTTCCAAATCATATACCATCAGTAATCTAAATAACAACTTCAGAATTTTATCTCTATGCCTTCATACAAAATTAAGTACCCTTTAGTACTTTTCGTACAATTATAGTACACATTTCCGAACCACCTCCACATGTCCAC